ATGCCCTCTGCTAAACTCATGTCACCGACTGAGTCCCGGGGCAAAAACCACTGACGTGACTCGGGTCACTGGTCATGATTTCAGTCCCAAGAGAAAGCACTCTTCATGTGAAGTCAAGCAGGCTTGCTAAAAGTTAAATCTCTGACTGAAGCCATGCTTTCAGTCCCCCAGCTGAAGTACTCTGCCTGGAGTCTGGCTTGTCCCTGCAGGGCACAGCCACAGGGCAAGTTTTCCACAGGCTCTTTCTTTGTCTACCCTGGACCCTCCTCACAGGCCCTCCCTCAGCCCCCAGGGCACAGCTCCAGTCATTCTTGCCTGCTCTCTGCTCAGGTGCGCAGCACAGCCGCATCCTCTCTCATCCTCTCTCCTGACCGCAGGTCAGGTGAGCCCCTCATGCTCCCTGCAGCCAGCTAGAAAGGTGCAAAATGGCAGAGGGAGGAATGAGCCCTAATCTCCATTAATAGTGACACTTGCAGGTGCCGCGTGTGGAGGGAATGGTAGTCGAGCCTGAGCCTCACCACGGAGAGCTGGGCACAGTCACTGATCCATTTTGCAGGTGCAGAGACTGAGGCTGGGGACTGGCTTTTTCCCCTTGTGCTCACATTGTGGAAGTGTCCACGGGTATTCCTGCCAGGTCAGGGAAGACGCTCAATGCCCTGGGCAAAAAATCTGACCTCCCCCAGGGGCTTCTGCCTCAGCCTGCTGCCACGACAGGCTTTATTTTAGTGTTTTTCTTTCTTCTGCAGAAACCTGCTCTTTCTGACTTTCAGGCTACAAATGACTCCGATGCACTTCCCGTTCTGAGTGTAGCAAGAAGCGTGGGGAGCTTGCTTTCTCTCCCAGACACATGTGAGGACGAGTCTAGGGGGCAGCTGGCAACTCTGGAGGAAAGGAGTAAAGAAAGGCAAAACTGAAGGGTCCCCAGAACACGCCATTTGAAGGGCTACCGTTTTTGACGTGCTGATAGTTTTAGTATTTTTAGTTAATGGAAACAACACTGGGTTATTTGGGACATTCCTCTTTGAGAAGGAGTGATTATTCCATTAAGTTCCCCACTGATGGTCCGGATCTAGCCTTGCCCAGACCACTGCTCCCCTTCTCCCCATCACCCACCGGCTCCCCCTTCCTTCCTAGCGGCCACTAATTGGTCTTCGAGTCCAAAGGTTGATTTCTGTTTCACTGCGTTCATCTGTTTGTTTTCTCTGCATGCCACATGTGAGCGAAGTCATACAGTTTCTCTGACTCATCTCACGAAGCTCGGTTCCCTCTTGGCCCGTCCATGGTATCCCCGGTGCCAGGACTCCGACTTTTCCTTTACAGCCATCTAGCACGCCTACACCTGCTCCCGGAGGGTCTCTCCTCTAGGCTGTGGAAACAGTGTGCTGCAGACATGGGCTGTGTATATTTCTGAATTTGTGTTTTTGCATTTGGAGGTAAATACCCAGAGGTGGGGTAGTCGGATCTTAGGACATTCTATTTTCAGTTACTGCGTTCGCAGGTGACTGTGGCCATTGACACACCTGCCCACAGCGTATGAGGCTCCTTCTCACCACCTCCTTCCAGTGCTTGTATTTCTGCCACTTGCACCCGTGTGAGGTGCTGTTTCATTGTTGTCTGACTGCATTTCTCTCACAAAAGACACATGAGCATCGTTTCCCGCGGCTGTCTCTGTTGTCTTTGAAGAATTATCTGTTGAGATCCTCTGTCCATTTTTTTTTTTTTCACTCTTGACTTGGGTGAGGTCTTCATCTATTGGCTATTGGCGTTTTATTAGATGTATAACGTGAAAATATTTTCTTCCCTTTAGCGGGATGTCTCTTGTTTCGCTGACGTTTCTTTCTCTGCCTGGAAGCTCTTTGATTTGATTAGTCCCATTTGTTTTGGGTTATGTCTTTGCTTTTGCCCCCTGCCATTACCTGGCTGGCTCATCAAAACTCTTGTGAGAGGGGAAACATAGATGCTCCCTTGGCCTGTTTTCTAGCTCACTGAGAAAAAAAGACATTCTTGGAATGGCGAGAAGTCACAGCCCTGTGCGTGGTCACTGTAACCTACCAATGCTACCTTGTTTGTTTGTTATTTGTCCCTAAAAACAAAATGCTTCCAAGAGAAACAGTTTCCTGATACAGAGCTGGCGCAGTGAAGCAGCTGCCTTGTTTCTGGGTACACAGGTCGCTGTGTGTATCTGATTTTAGTCTGGGTAGAGCCAGTGGCCTTGATGACTTACGTTACGGGTACTTTTCTCAAGGGCAAAGGTACTATCAAGTGGCGTGCTATTTTCACATTTAATAGTTCTCTCTTGACAAAAACCACATCTTTCAGTTCTACTGTAATATTCAGAAATGTAATATCATCCTTATATACATCATGGCCAAATTCTCGAATGCAGTCACGGATGATATTTTATAAAGCGAAATGTACGGAAAATCCCTTACTTGTTCTTCTGGTTGGATTCTTTTCCCCTTGACTTGACAAAAAGGGTCAAGCTTCTTTCTGCCTCAGATGTGTTAGCGTGAATTTTCAGTAGAGCAGGAAGGTAATTTTAGTACCTGTAATGGTTCTCACCACAATTGGGTCGATTCAAAGAACAACAACAACAATATTTAAGTCAGCCTGCCGCACAGAATTCCACAACCAGATTGCCTCGTCTCTGGAGCTGCCTTTGCAGATATGTTCTGTTTCCTCAGCTTAGTTAGGGCTTTGCAGAATTGAGAAGTAAATCCCTTTAGCTTTATAAAGAGAATTTTTTAATCTACTTCACCCTCTTCTTCCTACCTCCCAGAGAGTTGCACAAGCTGTGGATAAGCATCTCCAAAAATAGACTGTCAGGGGCTCAAATCAACACCAACCTGCCTGCCCTGAACAGATACACCTCACAGAACACAAGAAAGTGAAGCAACAGGAGGCAAATAAATGTACTGTCTTGCCTTTTTAACTCCCTTTTAAAGAGTTTTCAAGGAACTGATAAGGAATTGAAAGGAAATTTGCTACAAACACTCTCCAGTGCCTCCTCGTATTGAGAACTACAGTAGTTCTCAGTAGTATAGTGGGACTCTGTCTGTTTTTTTTTTTTTTAACAAGACTTTTAAATATTCCAAATTAAATTGTGGTCCCCAAACACAAGCATTGGTTCCAGCTGGCTTGCAAGGCAGCTGTACATAGAGGTGTCCCCCTAATGGGTAACAAGCAACTTTCTACCCCCAGAGAGCTGCAGGAGAAAATGGCCAAACTAGTTACCTTAGGGTGGCGTTGGGGGATGCCAGGAGATGGGTGGGCAAGGTGTCTATTTTTTTAAGTTTTTATCCTGTGGTTGTATTCTTTAATCAATAAATAGACATGTTTACGTACGGAGACATTTATTTTCTTAATGGAAACAGCTATTGTCCAAAAGCTTCATTGATTTAGAAGGAAGAAAGGCAAACCAGAAAGAAAAATCTAGACAACTTAAAGTTTGTACTAACTCAGTTACCAGAGGCCTTCCCTTTGCCATATGTTGGGCAAAGAAAGGAAATTGTAGGTGGCAGACAAAAATCTCTGTTACCTGAAAACCTGCAGGCTAAATTCCTCCATCCCCTGGGAGATTACTTGTGCCACACTGAGCTGCCAACCTAGCATCGCCGCCTGTAAGGAGAGCCTCTGCCTCACGCCATTGGGCCACACCACTGGGCGCTTGGCCTTGGGGGCAGCTGGACCCCGGTAGGGAAAAGACGGGGTGCCAGTTGGAGGCCAGGGTCCCACCCGATTGCCTGAAGGACATTCCAGAATGGCCTGGGAGTGTGTAGGTGGCAGCCTTGCAGCCTGAGGGAGTTGGCAGGGAGGAGACTCAGCACGGGGAACTGCATGCAAAGTGGGGGTGGGGGTGGGAGTGGAAATGGGTGGGGGTGGGGGGAGAGGTGGGGGGTTTGGGGACTTGGAATCTGGGAGTCAGTGGGGACTAAAAGGGAATGGCAAACGCAAGCAAGCGGGGCCAGAGTGTCAGAGACTTGGGGAGACATTTGTGGGGGCAGATCTGGAGCCAGACGGCACAGGCAGGTGTCCCCTGCTGGGGGCGGGTTCCTCAGAGGGCTGGGTCTCTGCAAGTGGAGGAACGCAAGTTGGGCGCCGACAGAAAGAGGAAAGGGGGCCACAAAGCAGCTTCCGGGGAAGCTGTGGGCATCCCAAGAGTTTCCCCGATTTTTGTTGCTTATTCCCAAACCACATTTCCTTTAACAGACCTACGTGCTGTTGCCCTTGAAGTATCCCCTTTACTGTGTTTCGGAGGTGCGCAGGTGTGCTGCCGGATGTAACCGGAGACAAACAAGGGGCCTCTGTCTCAGATTTGCCCCACACGTATCTGCTCCCTGCAGCGGATTTCCCAGCAGCACAAGTATTGATGCTCCCCATGAAATCCGTCACCTGTCACTCTGTCCCGTAGCTACGTCGCTTTGGGGGTGATGGGGTGCCCTGGAATTAGATAACTGGTGTCACGCAACCCTGTAAATATCCTGAAACCACAGAATGGCACCCCTTTCTTAAAGATTTATTTATTTGTGCATACAGAATTGGGGTAAAGGCCAGAGGACTCACCAGAGACAGAGTAGGGAGCAGAACTGCAGACTGATGAAGTCCACTGCTGAGGGGAGCAGCGGGCGGGTCAGGAGAGGTCTGCTGGGGATCGAACTCGTGCTGCAGTGGCTGTGACAGCTTCCTAGCTCTGTGCTTTCACCTGTTGTACCACCAGGGAGGGCTGGGAATGGCTCCCTTTTAAAGAGCGAATTTTATAGCATGTGAATTACATCTCAGTTTTTTTAAATGAAGAAATGTGAAGTGGCAATAAGCTTAAGAGAGAGAAATGGAGCCTGAGGGATAAGCTGTAAAAACCTGATAAAGCGCTGGGACATTGGTCACCAGTGACTTCTGTGATTTTGCCAGGAGGTGTGAAGCGTGGGCGAGACACGGCTGGGCTGGGGAATTACAGCCTCGCTGTTCAGCGTGTGGACAAATCGTCCACATGTTCCGATCGGATGACACTCAACAGGAACCAGACCTCGGGCCCAGGGCACAGCCAGAGGCCTCTGCCAGTGCTGCAGAGCAGCTGCTTGGAGCTGCCCTTAGCCCTGGAAAGACTCCTGCGCGGTAACACCGAGCGTGTGTATCTCACGGAGGCAGGTGCGGCTTGCTTATGGATCAGAAGCAATTGATAACCTTTACCACCTGCCACTCCCCCGACCACCTACCCCTGTCATTCGCCCTTGCCAGCAGGACTCACGGGCACTGCGCACAGGTCAGCCCTTTGTTGGGCAAAATCTGCATCGCCACATTCAGCTGTGCTGTTTGCCTCTGTTCATCCAACACGCGTGTCTGTCTCTGGTGAGTCCCCTGCCAAGGGCGGGGGGAAGCCCGCGAAGATGGAGCAAGAAGGGAGGGTGGGGTGTGCCTTCCTGTGCCCCTGGGGGGCACCGCACTCTCCTTAAGCCCCACTGCCCGGTGAGTACAGGGCGAGCGTCCAAGGGTACTAGGCCGGCCCAGGGCCGTGCCAGCCGGGTCTCAGAATCAAAGTGCAGATACAGCCTTCTTGGCAACCAAGCTCCAGAAGCAATTGCACTTTCTCACCTACCTCCCAGCCACACAGCCCCACCCACCCTCCTATGAGCCCTTTATCAGGCCAGCTGAGGTTAGAGAGGTCCAGGCTGGCTGCATCCGTGCCTCAGTAGTCCTGGCTTCCTGGTGTGGTGCTCCTAATCAAGCTCGCTGCCCTGTGGGTTAACTCCCTGGCTGGGATTAAAACTCAAGCCGGCACAGTGATAGCGAGCTGTTCTATATATAAATAAAGTAAAATAAATCCTTTATAAAGAAAACTTGGGGCCCTCCCTGGTGGCGCAGCGGGTTAAAGCACAGCACAAAGAAGCTTAAGCCACTTCCGCATGAGTTCGATCCCCGCCTGCCCCGGAGGAGATCCACATGGCGCGGCAGACCTCTCCTGACCCGCCCGCTGCTCCCCTCAGCAGTGTACTTCATTGATCTGTCTGTTTTGCACCCCACTCTGTCTCTGGTGAATCCCCTCACCCTCCGCATCTCTGGCCTGTACCCCAGTTCTGTACGAATAAAAAGAAAAAAAACAAAAACTTGGTTCCCAGACTGAGGTATTTTGAGGCTTCTTCTAAGACATACATGCCTACACCTTCCAGGAAGCTCTTTCACATGCAGATGAAGCCCTGCACTGGCTTGGTCTGGCTCCAAGATGCAGGGATGTCTCCATGCCCCCCCACCATCCCCAAGCCATTCAGACCTCAGCACCTCTGAGTTGTTCTGAAGATGCCAGGACAGGAGTTCAAAGAGAGGCCTGCCTGTGCTTATCACAGCAGCTTTACAGGAGCCAAGGTGTGCAGACAGTCTCAGTGCCCAACAGCACATGAGTGATTAAAGAGGACGCAGACTGTGTGCACAAGGGAATACTACTCAGCTGTCAAAAAGGAAGCCAGAGGAGAAAGACAACTCCAGGTGGCTTCACTTGTGGGGAAATAGACAAAAGCAGAAGAGCTGACACATCTAAACCCAAACAAACCCTAGAAATCTGACTACAGAGTGGAGGCTACCTGGGGTGGGGGTGGAGGGTAGGAAGTGGGGGTAGGAAGTGGGAGTAGGAATGGGAAGGGCCCAGTGGACTGTGGTGGAGGACTAGGGGTAACTTTGGTGGCGTGTGTGGTGTAGTCACATACACCTGAAGAGATGTGAACTTGTGCCCCTTGATCTTACACAGTGTTGGAAAACATTACATCAATAAAAAAAATAATATGATTCAAACACACCAAAGGAGTCTTGCTTGCTTCTCCCCTTATTCCTCACCTGGCAGCTTCTGATTATCTCCTTCTTGCCCCTGAGCTGCTTCAGCTGAGGTAGGGCCTGTGCTCTGGCGTGAGGCTCCGCTTGGGTCAAGCCCGGAGAGCAGGGTTCACTGCTGTGGCTCACCTGGCCCTCAGGTGTGAAAGTTGCTGTCTGTTCCCTCAACGCGGTGAGTCACCGTTCTAACCTGCCTGGCTCTGGGAGTGCTTGCTGAGAAAACTGATGAAGAAAAGAGCTTTTCTGCAGCGAACGAAAAAGAACGTGATTATGGGCGCCTTGACCTCACTCAGATTTGGGAACTAATATTGTGTTAGTATCATAGAGAGGACACAGAGGCCCCAAGCTTGCAGCTTGTCTGAGCACCTCAGCCAGCGGGTGGCCGGGACTCCTGGCTCCAAGCCCATCCAATCCCGACAACACCTTGCTGGCCCCTGGGTGAAGGTCCTGCAAGTTCAACATTTACGAGAGCAACAGCATTAAAGGCCACTTAAAAATCAGAGAGAGGGCCCTCCCTGGTGGCTCAGCAGGTTAGGACGCAGCACTGCAAGCAAGCTGCAGCTACGTCAATGCGAGTTCGATCCCTGCCCCAGAGGTGACCCACATGGCGCGGCAGACCTCTCCTGTCTCCTGCTGCTCCCCTCAGCAGTGGACTTCATCCATCTGCCTCTTCTGCTCCCTGCTCTGTCTCTGGTGAATACCCTCACCGTCCCTGCACCTCTGGCCTGTACCCCAGCTCTGTATGAATAAATAGATTAGAAAAAAAAAATCAGAGAGCGCCGGTGAGCCCAGTGGGGCCCACTGGCCACAGCACCTGTCCAGTGACCTCATCACCTTTCTCCTGCTGTTTTCTGATGAAGCTGATGAAAAAGTCGCGACACATGTGGCCACCTTCCCCAGACCATAGCCACATTTGTGTTTGAATGCTGACTTAGATTTTCCATCCAGTACCAGCTTCTTGTTTGTACATTTTTGGCGGGGGGCGGGGGGGAGGTTTGGCTAGTAGGAAAGAGACATGTGGAGGGTGATGTTACCTGGAGCACTGTGAGGATGAGGCTGGAGTTCTTTGTCGCCTCCAGAAAGTACAGTGCTGGATGACTTTTCCCCAGAAAGACCTTCCACGTCATCACTACCTGATGTCAATTTTCTTTCAGGTCACTTCCCAGATCACCCCTCCGTGCACCAGTGAGAGGCATTACGAGCATTTTGGGCGATGTTGCAACAAGTGTGAACCAGGTGTGTACCTGCCAGCACCTTCACTGCCCCTCAAGTCGGGCCAGGCTTTTGTTACCTGGGTTTTCATCTAAGGCCTGATTCCTCTCCTGTCAGATGGCAGAACACATTGGGTAGACTCTGGATGGTGGCGGGGCAGGTCGTGATTGCTGTCACTCAGAAGATAAAAATCTTTCACTAGATAAAATCACTGAAAGATTACAGCAGTTTCAGAAATGACTTAATTCCTTTTGCTACACAAGTCCCCAGAACACTGTTCCTCAAAGTGGTCGGATGATTCTGAAAACCATCTTTGATCATTCAGAACTCTCAAGATGGAAATGCAAAATATAAAATGCTTATTTAAAATTATTGTTTTCGGCCCTCCCTGGTGCTGCAGCAGATTAAAGCACAGCAGTAAGAAGCTAAAGCCGCTTCCGCATGAGTTCTATCCCCGCCTGCCCCAGAGGTGACCCACATGGCGCGGCAGACCTCTCCTGACCCGCCCGCTGCTCCCCTCGGCAGTGTAATCTGTCCACCAGCCTGTTCTGCTCCCCACTCTGTCTCTGGTGAATCCTCTCACTGCCCCTGCACCTCTGGCCTGTACCCCAGTTCTGTATGCACAAATAACTAATTTTTAAAAATTATTACTTTCACACAGTTTGGGGGGCCATTCCTAGAATTGCTGCAGAAGAAGCAGGCCTCTGTCCTGTTAGCTCCCCATGCACCTGCCAGCAGAGAGGGACTGTACCCCAAGTCCAGGGCCTTGCCTATCTTTTTTTTTTTTTTTTAAGATTTATTTGTGCATACAGAACTGGGGTACAGGCCAGAGGTGAGAGGATTCAGCAGAGACCGAGTGGGGAGCAGAACAGGCAGATGGATTGAAATACACTGCGGAGGGTCAGGAGAGGTCTGACACACCTGTGGGTCACTCCCTGGCCGGGGATCGAACTCCTGCTGCAGTGGCTGCAGTAGCTTCATAGTGCTCCGCTTTAACCCCTGAGCCACCTGGGGGGTGGGGAGGCCCCACTTTTTCTTTTTGGTCTTGTCCTGATGGTACACTGTCTGCCATTGTAACCAAAGGAAAGTACATGTCTGCTAAGTGTACCGCCTCCTCGGAAAGCGTCTGCCTGCCCTGCGGCCCGGACGAATACCTGGACACCTGGAATGAGGAGGACAAGTGCTTGCTGCACAAAGTGTGTGACACAGGTGAGGCCCCAGCAGCACATGGGCGGGGCGTGTGGGCGAGGGGACTTCTGGAAACAACACGCTCCCTGCAGAGGGTGTAGGGAAGAGTTGGCCATGGGCCCCCCAGAATATGCTGCTGATCCGGAAGCTCGAGATTAAAACTCATCGTTTACAACTCTTGTTCTGGAAGATGTCTGCGTTGCCATTAATCATGGGACAAATCTCATAATTAGCAAGCTCGATCCTCTGTTTCCCGGAGTGTTGTGTTACGTACATGTCAGGGCCTGAAGGAAATCCTCCAGTACCCGCTGGGCCCTTCTAGGCTGCAAGTGATCAAACAAGCCCGAGATGGGTAAGAGAAAAAGCCAGAAAGTGCGATAATAAGACGTGCTCTCCTGTACTCCGGGGAGGGACCCAACTCGACTCTGCACACTGCCCCTGACTTGAGATGCCATTTAAAGAGCTTGGCAAAGGCAGAGGGGGGGGTTGACCGCGAAAGGCACAGTCCACAAACATCAGATAATTCATTCTGCTTTCCCCACTGGAAAAAAGAAAAGATTAGTTCTTCCAGTGAGGGAAAGACGTTTACATGTAAATATCCTTTGCAAAAGCAACTTCCACCCAGCCTCCAGAGCTCCTTGCAGGAAATCAGCGTCTCGCCAAAATGATACCTCTTGGGGTGGTTTTGCTTCCCTGTATAAGCTCTGCAAAAGCCACGATGAGCCCATTTTAGAGATGAAGAAACCGAGACCAGAGGTGATAGGAGAAACCAGGTCTTCTGAGTCTCAAGTCTTTTCTGAAACCACCAGTGCTTTAAGTGCTTTATTCACTCTACAGTGTCACCCCCTTCTCAGCTATTTTTTTTTTCTAACCTGGAATGTTTGCTTTGTCAATTTGTAGGAATCAGGATCAAACCTGGAGGTTCCCTTCTGTCTTATTTTTCCTTTTTCCGAAGAGAGTTTGTGTCGAAGCCTAGAGTTTCCTCTGTGGCGTTTCCAAAGTCTGTGCTTGGCTGCTTGCACTCTCTCGGTGTCTTTAACACATGCTTCTGTCTCCTCTGTTTCTTCTCAGGTGGTTGTTAGATCTAGAAGACTGATAGGTTTCTGCTTTGGCTTTTTGTTGCTTTATTTTGTTTTATTTTTGGCAGATAATCATGGCTGGCACAATGTAATAGGGCAGGGATTAGAGCACAGCTCTAATGTGTGATTTAGCAGCCGCTGTGATCGCCGCCCAGGTCCGCCTTCAGTGGGGCCCGCAGAAGGTGATGTTCTCCTCCTGTCCTCCCTCATTTGCGGGATTGTTCAGACAGAGCACCTTCCCTCATCAGCTCTGTTACTGTGAGGTGCAGGCTATCTGGAGAAGGCAGAATGAATGCCTGCATTTTTGCTTACCATATTTCAAAACAAATCACCGAGCTATGCCCACAGGGTCTGTATGAATATGATGAACCCCTGAATTTGGATAAACTCCATTTAATGCAGCAGGGTTTTTTAAAGCTTTATTTATTGATGCATAAAGAGCTGGGGTGCAGGCCAAACATGCAGGGGCGGTGAGAGGCTTCACCAGAGACAGTGGGGAGCAGAACAGGCAGATCAATGAAGTACACTGCCGAGGGGAGCAGTGGGCGGGTCGGGAGAGGTCTGCCGCGCCATGCAGGTCAGCTCCTGGCCAGGGATCGGACTCCTGCTGCAGTGGCTGCGGACAGCTTCATAGTGCTGTGCTTTGACCCGTTGCACCACCAGGTGGGCAGTGACTAGTTTTACTGGTGCTCAGACACCAGTCCCAAGCGCTCCCAGTCTTTTGAGCCCACTTCTAACACCTCGAAGAGCTTGCTGGCCTCCATGCTCACCTGGTGACAGTTCTTGCTCTTCACTGGAACCAGACAGTTCTCCAAGGACCTGCGACTGCTTTCTGCAGAACTTCTGATTTCCTGACATTGGCTCATAGTTAAGGCAGCTCATTGCCGCTGGATCGATCCCTGTTTGTCCCTCTCCCCCCAGTAGCAGAGCTAGGACATACTTATATTTTAATATCATAATTTTGCAACTATGTCCAAGACAACTGGCAGTTTTGGGCAGGAGACGGGCATTTGGAAACTCCACCGAGCACAAGCATCTGATCAAGTCTTTTTCTTTCCCACTGCTCAGTAATGACCTTGACTCACTGTTGTCCCCTGGAAATAAAGATTCATTCTCTCTACTGCCAAAATTGATTAATGCCCCAAACCTGGTGCATGAATACATTTTAAAATCTATCAATACTGTTCATCACCCCACAGGCTGATAGTCACTACCATGTGGGTAGGACCTGAAGTTAGAACTCTCCAAGAAGTAACACAACTGTGTGTGTATGCCAGGGACTCCCTATGTGTTCAGGGATGTCGTCCTGATGCTGCGAGCTGACCGAGGCTTTGGAGAGTGGACCCTGGAGGGAGTGGAGCTTCCTTCTCCAGCTTCACCGTGCCGGTCTGAACAGGAATCTGAAATGTCCCCAACATGCTGGCTCTGAGACCCAGCCCAGAGGACGATCAGGCTTCAGGGTGCTTATTCCTTACCCCTGGGAACTCTGTCCTGTGCACAGACCCACTGGCCTGAACAACAGTAGTTTCAGTAGTCCTGGAGGCCGGATGTCCAAGGTCAGGGAGTCAGCACAGTTGGGTTCTTGGTAAGAGCCTCTTCCCTGTTTCAAGAGAGGCACTTTCTTGCTGTGTCCTCACATGGGAGAGAACGCAGAGAGGAAGCAAGCTCTGTGTCTCTTCCTGTAAGGTCACTAACCCCATTCCTGGGGGCCCCAACCTCAAGACACGACCACCTCCCCAGACCCCCACCTCCTAATATCACAGTGGGGGTTAGGATCACAACCTGTGACTTTGTAGGGGACACAGCCAACATCCATCGCAAGCCCCTGCAATCACTGAGGGATGCAGAGCTCAAGGGCACTGATAGGCCAGGTGGGGTGGAACCCCAAAGGGTCAGAAGGTCCATTTTAGATGACATTACTGTGCTGTGTGTGTTGTTGTTGTTGCACTTGATTCTTATTATTCACAGAATTTGCATTCTTCAGAGTCATGACAAGTACTAGACTAGCAAATGCAGAGCCTCCAGCCTCCGGGAAATTCTGGGTTAGGTTCCCAGAGCCTCTGCCCATCACGTTTTTATCAACGTGTCCAATGCTGTGGGGTATTGCTGTTTGCAAGCACCTTATTTCATCAATGTTTTGATTTAGTAACATTGAAGCAGGTACCCAGCAGCTCTGTAACTCAGGCCTGAGCAAAGTCCACCTAACACACAGCTCCTCCTTAGGCCCCAGGGACTGGGCTTGCAGCCATTGCAAAGAGAGAAACATCCCTGAAGGTGCAAAATAAAGCATGAACTAGACTGTAAAAAGGGAACTTGCTTCCTGTCTGAGAGCTGACACAGAAGGCGGACATCACCTTAGCTGACCTCTGGGATGATGAGCCTGTCTGCTCAAGAGAGGCACTGGGAATGGGGGGGCTGTGGGGGGCGGTGGAGGAGAAGTCTCAGGGGGGGAGGGGGAGCTCATGTCCAGAGGGCTGCAAAGCAGGAGTTGGTTGTGTTGGTTTTTGAGTTGGGTGAGCAGACAGAATTGCAAATTATCACACAACCCCAAGTCCACAAACACTGGCCAGAGCAGATTTGGGGTGAGAAGGAGAGCCCTCTGCTGTGTTGTAGGATGAGAGACCAGTGACAGATGTGGGAAACAGTGTCTGGGGAGAGCTTCATGTCCTCACTGGCCCTCCCCACCTAATGACACAGGGACACCCCCTTCTTTGTGAGTGAGTAACCCTGTGACCCTCTAGGGTCCCAAGCTGAACCCCGAATCTCCTAAATCTATTCTCTTGGGCCCAATGTAGTGTTCATGTGGAGAGTACTGACTCAGTAAGAATGGACTAAGAATCCAGAAGTTGCCGCGTCTACTTGGCATTCGCCGAAACGGCCAATCTTCGGCGCCTTTACGCTTCTATGAACTTGAAAATGGTCTAAAAAAAATTCCCACAAGACTTAATTGTTGAGCGAGGGAGAAGAAGACCTGGGACGTTTAGTGCCGGCACAGGAAGTGTTAGGGGAGCTGGGAGTTCCTTACACTTGGAGTCCGGGTGATTCACCCCTGGGGCGCCGCGCGGGCGGCTGGGCCGGGCGGGAGCGGGACGCCGGAGCCGCCTCTACCTCCGCGCTCTCTCCCCGCAGGCAAGGCCCTGGTGGCCGTGGAGCCCGGCAACCGGACGGCCCCGCGGCGCTGCGCCTGCACCTTCGGGTACCACTGGAGCCGGGACTGCGACTGCTGCCGCCGCAACACCGAGTGCGCGCCCGGCTTCGGCGCCCAGCACCCGGGTACGCCTGGGACACCCCGACACCCCAGCCCGGCGAGGGCCCAGGCCGCCCTGGGCCGTCCCCTGTGCGGCCACCAGGGGGCGCTGGCGGAGCTCGCGGGCCTCCTGAGCGTGGAGCCCTGGTGCACCTGCTCCCGGGAACGTGGGGGTTCAGCCGTGCGCCCTTCCCGGCTCCTCCATCCCCGAGACCTTAGCGTCCCCACTGACGAGGGCACTTCAGTCCTAAAGGCCAGGGTCCTCAAACCTTTTGTAACGCGTACAACCTCCCGCCCTGGAAGAAGATTGAAAAATCATGCACCCCCTGGCATATTTTTAAGCTGGCATCTAAAATTTTTTATGATAAATGTTGAGAGTTGCCGAGATCTTCGTTTCCAGGCAATTATAGCTGCAGTAACACTTTTTAAATGTTCTACGGGATCTAAACACCGTAGCAATTCCATACCCATCAGCACCCATTTGAAGAGCGCTAATCGCCCGGGCGCTCTGTGGCAGGAGACAGTAAAAAGCAGTAATGGTCTTCACCTGTCGGAAATTGCATGCCATTTTCTTTGATTTGTATTCATTTCACCTTCCCCACAGGTTTGTCCTAATGTATTTTTATGCTTGGGAGGACTTTAGTCACCTTTTCATACTCTTTTACAGAAAAAAAAAATTGCACCCATTGAAAATCCTTTTTTTAAAAAAATGTTTACTTATTTATGCATACAGAACTGGGGTCCAGGCCAGAGGTGCAGGAGTGGTGAGAGGATTCACCAGAGACACAGTGGGGAGCAGAATAGGCCGACTGACAAAGTACACTGCTGAGGAGAGCAGCGGGCGGGTCAGGAGAGGTCTGCTGTGCCATGTGGGTCAGCTCCCTGGCGGGGGATCAAACTCCCTTCTTCAGTCTGATTCCAAGGCAAACAAGCCCCAGGGCCTTTGCACGGCTTGTCGCCTGCTCCACTGAGGTGTTGTTTTCTCCCTCTCCTGCATCTCTTCTGGTCTGCCTGCCTGCCCTGCCTTTGGGATGATGCATTCTTTGGCGGTAGGTGGAGGCAGGAGGGGACGAAGTAGACCTATGAAAATATACTGCCTGGCTGTGTACTTGAATCAGTCAACTCAGTCTGGTCCTGCTGCCCCTTGGTACCGTGACCCAGTTCCCTTAGTGGCTGGTGGGCCCACACCTGTGCTAGGCCCATAACGTGTGGCTGGACGCATCTCCAAGGCGGGATTTGCATGGGTCAAGAGTGCCTTCTGCTGCAAGGTGTCAGAGGCAGGACTGCGAAGGGGGAGGAGCTGGAGACCGCAGGGTGGTGCTGGGTGCGCGGTGTGGAAGCCTGGCCCTGGCAGCTGAATGCCTTGAAGCCCCTGGGGAGCTCTGTTTCCAAGGACTGCTCTTCCCGAGTGCATCCTTCCACAGACCCGTCCAATGAGTGTGAATGACTGGGTGTTCACTGGGCTTTTGTTAACATCATTTCAAAGAAAGTCAGATGGCAAGATGAAAGTGTGGAGTGGGGTGGGGGCTACTCACCGAGGCAGTTGCTTGAACTCAAGCATGTACTTGATTTTGAACAGAGAAATGGAGTGTTTTGTTCATAAGCATAAGTCACAGGTGTGCTACTACTATTTTTTCAAAAGTTACTTGTAGTTTGGGCACCGGCCAGTTGCCTGGTCATGAGATCACCCAGAAGCCAATGTTCTTCTTGCTTTGAATGACCAAAAGCTCATCCCAAACTGAGGCAGTAAAGGTAACGCAGGTGGGAAACCACTTCCCATTTTGATAAAAAGCAGCATGTGAGCACGGTGCCAGCTCTCTAGCTACGGTTCCTGGCTAGGCTCAAGACCTGCTTGTAGCTTGGATGGAGGCGAGGCTCCGGCCCCCCACCCCCCACATTTGTATTCATGTCCATAGTTTTACCGGAACAGCCACATCCACACATTAAAAAAAACAACAAACATATTGTCTCTCACTGCTTTCGCACCTTGGATAGTTGCGGTAGAAATCAGACACATACTGCATGAACTTTATAGCAAAAGTTTGCTACCATCGGTTGGTTGCAAAGAAGGATACCTGAATGGGTTTTTCCTATTTGGGGGAGGGGTTGTTTGTGTTTTGTTTGCTTTGGGAAAACTTTATCATCATCCCAGGACCTAGAGATTTAAGGATTTGTGTGATGAGATGAAGCCGGCCAGAAGGGGGCAGGATAAAAGGTTTCCGCTTAGAGGTTAAAGGACAGCTACTCTGCAGGTGAAGGCTGTGGTGGGCGGAGCTGCCGGAGGGAGCAGGGTCAAACTGGCCGTCAGTGGGCCCTCCGCGGAGCTCAAGGAACGAGGGGCCAGCCAAGGCCAGGACCAGGGAGCTGGACCTCAGACCGTGGCAAGATGCCTGACAGAGAGCCAGTCTGTCAGAACCTGGCGCTGGGGTCTGCTGGGGGCCCCAAAGCCCGTGGGACTGAAGCAGGCAGCCCCAGCTGGGAGGGGCGCAGGCAGCTCCCGCCTGCCTCACGCTGGAGCATCATCCTGGCCGATCTCTAAGTGTCCTCCTTGTTCCTCTGTGTTTCTTTTGTCCGTTTTTTTGACAGTGCAGCTTGACAAGGACACCGTGTGCCTGCCCTGCCTCGCAGGCCACTTCTCGGATGCCTTTTCATCCACAGACAAATGCAAACCCTGGACCAAGTAAGTGACTAAAGAAGAGTGAGTGTGGCTTCGCGTGTTCAAAATGGAGCAGTTTGTTGCAGCGTCAGGGGCATACGCCAGGCCACCCCACTCTTCAACCTTGTTTTGCTTTTCAGATTCAGTCACCTGAGGCCTTTGACTTCAGTTGTTGCTTTTTTCCTGTTTCTGCCTGTATTTAGTTGGAAGTGACTTGTGACACTTATTGTCATTCACTCCCCACTCTTCTCCTGGCTTTCCAGCATCAGTGGCTTATTTCTCATGTGTGTGTGTGATGAATGTGCATATAGAAACCTTGTTTTTTTTTCACATAATACATCTTGAAGGGGGCTCCTTCCGTATTAGTTCACTTACATCTTTGTGGCTTTTTCATAGCTGTGTAGTATGCCATTGTAGAGCTGCACCATCATTTATTAAGTTCCCATGGATAGTTATTTAAGTGGTTTTCAGTCTTTTGCAGCAATAGACAATTTTGCAATGACTTACCTTCCATTCATATTGTCCTCCACAAGTCCACACACATGCATGTATTGATAGTTGCCATCACGGTCTTTCCACTGCTTGCTTGTTGAATACCGAGTGTCAGTGTGATGATTCTTGCGGCTCCCAACATATTCATTCTCATCAACTATTTTTTTCTGATCCATTTATCCAAATTTTATGTTGAAAAGAATTTCTGTGTTTTCACCTTGGAAAGAGCAGTCATCAGAAGTCATCAGGGCAATGGGAACATGGGGGATCTTCTTTACTGGAGACGCCATCCCCAGTGGCTGTGTCTGCTGCTTCTCTTGCCTGCCTGCATCCCATTCTGCTCCTTTTGGGAGGCCCTGGTGCTACAAATGTCCGAGAAGACAGGAGTTCCTCTCCAGAAGGAGCTGACAATGTGGTAGAATTGGGGCCTTTTGTGGCTCTTTCAAAGGCAAGAACGCGAGCCAAAGCACTTACCCCCTTTTCTGCCCACAGCTGCACCACCCTCGGAGGGACCGTAGCCCACCCCGGGACAGATAGGTCGGACATCGTTTGCAGCTCTTCTCTGCCATCTAGGAAACCGCCAGATGGTATGTTGAAAGGTCGGTTAGTAGATGAGCCCCCACCGGGCAGCTCGTCAGCTGCCTCCTGATTCCCTCTCCCTTGGGGGCCCATTTTCTCTTCTCAACTCACCCCGCCCATGGTCAGCACAGTCCCTCATTGTTAGCCGTGCCTTCATTCCAGTTTGTGGTTTACTTGATTTTTTTTGCCCCTAAACTGGGGTGGGTAACTAATGATATGTTCATATGTACAAAAACAAAGTAGAGCTGGACACATATATCAAAATGCCCCCACAGGCTGTAAAGGCAGAAGCCACTACGTGGGGATCGTGAAGGGTTTTGGTCACCAGCCGGCACTACAACTTGATAGACTACAAATACCTACTGATAGGGCATCTTGTAGATCAGAGGAGCCTTCGGTCCCATTTCAGGGTTTCACAGAGAGTTGTCGTTGGCGAGTGCGGTTTCCTCTGGGAGTGAGGCAGTGTGGAAGCAGGTACAGAGCTCCCTGGAGATGACAGAGAGGCCAGAGTGAGGCAGGAGATCCCGAGCCACAGGAACCACCGGGCACTCGTGAGCGTAGACTAGGAAAACCAGGACGTGCACGACATTGCAGGACCTGACTGGGTGTGGGTGTGAGATTGTATAACCAGAGCAGCATTTTTTAAAAAAATATTTATTTATACATACAGAACTGGGGTACAGGCCAGAGGTGCAGGGGTGGCGAGAGGCTTCACCAGAGACAAAGTGGGGAGCAGAACAGGCAGATTGACAAAGTACACTGCTGAGGGGAGCAGCGGGCGGGTCAGGAGAGGTCTGCCGCGCCATGCGGTCACCTCTGGGGCGGGAATTGAACTCATATGGTAGTGGCTTTAGCTTCTCAGTGCTGTGCTTTAACCCGCTGCGCCACCAGGGAAGGCCTGGAGCAGCATTTTTAAAAGCCCATTTTGAAGATGACGTTAAAAGTAACTGAGGTGGCCCTCCCTGGTGGCGCAGTGGGTTAAAGCACTGCACTGAGAAGCTAAAGCCGCTTCCGCATGAGTTCGATCCCCGCCTGCCCCGGAGGTGACCGCATGGCGCGGCAGACCTCTCCCGACCCGCCCACTGCTCCCCTCAGCAGTGTACTTCGTCGATCTGCCTGTTCTGCTCCCCACTCTGTCTCTGGTGAAGCCCCTCGCCACCCCTGCGCCTCTGGCCTGTACCCCAGTTCTGTATGTATAAATAAATAAATCTTTAAAAAAAAAAGAAGGAAAGAAAAGACCAGGAACTAGTCCATGTAAGCCCAGAGTGCTGCTGCAAAGCCCCAGGGGATGAAGGAAACCGCAGAGCCCCGGGGTGTGGAGGGGCCCTTCATGGCGGGTGTGGCTCCGGGTCATGGCCAGGGCAGGGAAGAGGCTTCCTTTCACCCCAGCAGCTGTCCTCCCCAGAGGCTGTCCATGTGGAAAGCTTGAAGCGGAAGTTCCCTCAGGAAGCAAAGACAGACCCTGAGGCTGTGGAAACATGAAATGGGTTGTTGCAAAGGAGAAACACGGAGCCCTTGCTGGCCCAGCCCAGACAGAGGCAGAAGAGCAGGTCGTGAGCAGGGCGGCCCACCCGGGGCCGGGAGCCCGCCTCCCAGTTCCACACTGTGGGGTTTGGCTTAAAGGCTTTTGATTTTATATTTTAAGGGTACAATGAACTGGAGCCACCCTGGTGGCACAGCACCGCTAGCCACTGTGGCAGGAGTTCGATCCCCAGCCAGGGAGTGACCCACAGGGCACAGCAGACCTCTCCTGTCTTGTCCGCTGCTCCCCTCAGCAGTAGATTTCAGTGGCTCTGCCTGTTCGGCTCCCCACTCTGTCTCTGGTGAATCCTCTCACCTCTTGTTCCTGCACCCCAGTTCCTGTGTGCATAAATAAATCTTTATGCATACATACATACATACATACATACATATATATATGTATAAAAGAGTACAGTGTACTCATGTTTAATATCATTTTTCTCATTTCCTTCCAATACAGAGCCTCAGATCTACCTGCCCGGTTTGATCATCCTGCTTCTCTTCACGTCTGTGGCACTCGTGGCCGCAGTCATCTTTGGTGTTTACTATCGGAAAAAGGGGAAGGCGCTCACAGGTACCGTGGACGGGCGAAGACTCACCTTAAGGAAAGGAGGCGATTTCTAGGGGCGTGCTTCAGAAGACTGGAGCCCCCTCACCCCGCCTGCCTCCGGTGGGCAGCCTAAAATGAGTGCTTGGAGGTGTTTGCCTTAAGCGGAGGTGAAAAGCTGTCGCTCCCTCATTCACAGTCCTCCGGCAAAAAGAAACAAACAAAAAAACCATCGTGCTTATTATCTATAAGTAAACAAAAACCTTGTAGATTTGGGAAACCGATGATTCATAAGCTGAGCGTTTAGGCGTAAAGATTCCACAGTGTCAGATATTTGAGGAGCCGTGTTTATCCTAGAATACATCCATTCTGATGTGCACTTAAATGGACGCAATGTTGGGGTCAGTGGAGAGGGAAAGTTTTGATTGGGGGGCTGCTTTGGAAAAGGAATCTGGCATGATGAAAATAAGTCCTCTTCTACTCAGGAAGCTTCAGGTGTGCACTGTCGGAGTGGCAAGTGTTACCTTGCTCACCGGGAATAGTTTTCCCACACACTTTCAACGTCACATTGTGTTTGACTTTGCTACCACAAACCTAAAATAAAAAGTGATTCTTAAGAAAGGATTCAAGTCTTCACAGGCTTCCTAGAGATGTCTCCTCACGCTTTGATAGTCGAATCATTCACATTGGAGCTTTGGGCTACCCCTTCCCTTTCCATTTTCAGCGGCTCGCTGGTTTGTCTCCTCCAGGTTTGCTCTGCCTTTGATCAGTTCTTCCACATCCCACCCACGCAGTCACCCATCTGCCCAACCACATACCCGTCTGTCCATCTGTCCGTCCATCCATCGTCTTTGGGCTTCGTGAAACCTGCACGTCCTGCCGTGTCCACTCCCATTCTGTCACCTACTTGGCCACCTGGTCATCCAAAGAGTAATGAAAGAGTTGATGCGGGTTGAAGAGGCCAGTGTTCCGCAGAGAGAATGTCAAACCACTTTTCAAAGGGCTTTTTCCTTATTCAATGTCTTCATTTCATGCCTCTTTCCTTCCCTGACAGCATCGTGTTTGGGGATTTGAGTGATGCACGTTCAGGTGATGAGACTCACCCGCACAGTTACGGTTTTGTGAGATAACACGCTTTCCCTGGTTCTGTTTTGTTATGTTCTCCTCCGTGACGCCTCTTACTGACTTAGCCCTTCGGACTGAAAGGCCTAGGGCTGCCTCTGCTGAGTGACTGCTGGCTGGCTCTGCCTCTCCCCTCCATGCAGCACTCTCAGACACAGCGAGCCTCCCTGGAGCTGACTCCTGCAGGGACAGTCAGCCTCGGGGCAGCGATGGCAGGAGTCTGCCCAGCCGTGGGGCCAGCCAGCGCCTCCCCAGGCCGGAGTCGGGAGCTGAGACGGAACGACTTGTTGGGGTGGACCCAGGGGACTGAAAGTTGGAAGCAGTGTGAGGCTGCCTGGCTGTAGCCTCTGCTCTTTCCCTTTTGCAAAAGGAAGTAAAAACCAACCAGCTAGATTTTGGACAGACAAAAAACTGGGGGCTGCAGCTGGCACAGCCGCTGGTACCCCAATGTAGGGGACTTTTGCAATAATCCAGAAGCGAGAGTATCACATCAGCTCTGCAGATCTGTGCACACATACCATTTTTCAGTGCCATTTGTGATGGAGTACTATTCCTACAAGAAAAGAGCTGCTACTTTCCTTTCATTGCAGCCACTTTCTTTTTCTATGCAATTTCACAGTGATAGACAGGAACAAGAAAGCATGTTGGTGAGAGCAGTAACTGACAAATACTTAATAGTCATTATGTGCCTGCACTGCTGTGCACATTTCACATTTCACATGTGCTAGCTAAATCTCAGCAGCGCAGTGGGGGTGGGGTGGTGGCCTGCTATTTCTTCATGTTATGAAGAGACTGAGACTCCAAAGTTAAATGAAAAGGACGCCGTTGCACGGTAACTGTCATTAGCTGTGGTGATGAGGAAGTCGGTGAGTGGGAGCCCAGGGTTGTCTTTATACTGCATGAACGCCAGCTACTCGGTGGGAAATCTCTTAGAACCACGTCGTCTTCTTCTCTTACAACACTTAGCTGGTCCCGGGTAGTGAAAGAAAAATTGCCAAAGGGATGTGGACATCCAGAGCTTCCCCACAGCTTGCCAGCCCCCGATGTGCCGACGGGCCATATTTCGCTTGGCAGTTAAAACGTGTACATAAATGTCTTTCAGAGCATTTTCTTACTTTTCCCCCAGAGTTATATTTTTGCGATTTTGATCTCTCACGATGGTGGTTTTTCAGAATTTTAAACTTTAGGGATTTTGATTGGGATTTCGGCATTCGGGGTGACGCCACTGTGGCTGTGTCTTTGGGGATCACGTCGGCAGCCGGTTTCCTTTCATCGGAAGGGTCTGCTTTTTTTTTTTTTTAATTGCAAATGTTGTATTTGCTTTTGATAGGAATGCTATACTTTCCTAAAATCGGTTTTAAGTAAAAGCAGCTCTCAGCTGAATGCTTAGAGGCAGTTGAGCTGACAGAGTGGTCGCGGGTCCTGAGAGCTAGGACAGACTCTGACGGCTTTATTCCCGCTTTGTTTTTCCAGCTCATCTGTGGCACTGGGTCAATGAGGCATGCGGCCGCCTACGAGGAAGCAAGGTAACTCGAAAAGTTTTATAGCCCTCCTTTAACTGCTTTGAATAACCGGGCTGCACAGCTCCCCTTAGTCAGCGATTGAGCCCTGTAGAAGAAGGGGTGCGCCCCAAGATCAGAATTGATCTTTTTTTTTTTTC